TGCCCTGTTGTTGGCCCTCCAGAGGAACTGGTTGGCCACCGTGTGAGGCAGGATGCTGGACTAGATGGACCACTGGTCTGATCCAGCAGGGCTCTTCTGATGTTCCTATGAAGGCCTCGGCCTCTCTGCCCTGTTGTTGGCCCTCCAGAGGAACATGGTTGGCCCGTGTGAGACAGGATGCTGGACTAGAGGGACCAGTGGTCTGATCCAGCAGGGTTCCTCTGATGTTCTTATGAAGGCCTCGGCCTCTCTGCCCTGTCCCTCCAGAGGAACATGGCTGGCCACTGTGTGAGGCAGGAAGCAGGACTAGATGGACCACTGGTCTGACCCAGCAGGGCTCTTCTGATGTTCTTATGAAGGCCTCGGCCACTCTGACCTGCTGTTGGGTCTCCAGAGGAACTGGCTGGCTACTGTGTGAGACAGGATGCTGTACTAGATGGACCATTGGTCTGATTCAGCAGGGCTCTTCCTATGTTCAGAGGCAACATGCCTTCTCTTTAAAAACAGAACCCAGGGACACAGATTCTTAGGTAATGTATGGTTTGAATTGCACATTTGGCAACTCAAGTGTTGAACGTAATGTAAGAATTACTTGACACGCATGTGGAAAAAAAATCTTGCATGTGCTGTACACTGGATTGCACGTGCATTCCTTGTGACATGTCTGCAGGGTTTTGCTAATCCCATCCAAAGCCCTTCGATAAGGCGTGCACTGGGGGAGCTGGGGCAATGCCAAAGACCATGTGGCGTCCTGACCCAGTGCTGACCATATTCCCAGGGACAGGTGGGCAACACCATTCATGGCTTCAGAAGTGAAAACTCAAGTCACGACACAGATCTCAAACTCTTATGTACAAAGTGGAATCCTTGACACAGAGAGTACTCCATCTTTCTGTGTTATACCTCTGAGGATGCCAGTCACAGCTACTGGTGAAACGTCAGGTCCTACAATTCCAAGACCATGGCCACACAACCTGGAAAATCTACAACAGCTAAAGTGGAATTCTGTCCATTTCAGAGGGTGAGCCTCGCTGGTCTGTAGTAAAACAGCCAGAATCGAGTCTAGTCAGGCCCCAGCTTATTTTGCACCCTAGGCAAGGATCCCTTCTGGCGCCCCCCCCCCCACCTCCCCCCCCAATGTTCAAAAATAAATGCATTTTAGGAAGAATGAAAAACACAAATAATCAAGAAACTCCCAGAGTACGGGGCAGGTGCAGCTTGGTGCCCCTAAGGGCTGGCCCGCTCTAGGCGATCACCTAGTTCACCTAGTGAGTGAGCCGGCCCTGAGTCTAGTAACACCGTAGAGATCAACAAGATTTTCAGAAATGCTTTGACTCGCGAAAACTCATACCTTTCAAAATGTTGTTGGTCTCTAAGGTGCTACTGGGCTCTAGCCAGAATTATTTCAGGACCTTTCAAAGAAATGGACCTACCTTCAAAAAAAACAAGTAGAAGAAGTCTGCCCATTGTAAGCCTCTGCATTTGACAAACCAAATTCTCCGCATCTGTCAGATCAGGAAGGTTGGTCATCGGTCTGAATCCGCATCTCTCCGGGTTTGCCACTGAACGGGGCAAGTGTTTTTTAAAAGGGAAAAGATGGCGGTCGTTTGGCTCCAAGAAAACGAGACCCCGGCTTAGTTTCTGCCATTAGGAATTCTTTACAGATGGTGGTGGTGGGGGGAATCAGTCATTTCTACTGCCATCATATCATGGTATGAAACATTATGGGAATGAATGCCGTCTGTTAACTGTGCAGGGGAAGATAAGTGGATTACCTGTGATCGGGGGGGGGGGGCAAGGGATCTCCTCTGCCTCCCCTATCCGCACTTCTGCTAGCGCTTGAATTAGCCATTACCGCTGGATGCGACTCAAGCAGGCGTTCAGCCTGAGACTACCTGGGGATTCTCGGGTGTTACGGTTAATTAAACCTGGCAATTCAGGAAGGGGGGGGGGGGAAACGGGCCTGTGAATAAACACGTCTGCTTGCAGAGTTGGGTCCCTGTGAAAAGCCGGCTGGGGCTGAGAGGAGCCCAAGGCATCGACAGCCACGTCATCAGAGACTGCAGCGTGGTAGAGAAATACGCACGCAAGTCGGAGGACGCAGGTATGCATCCCTCGCGGGGCAGGCCGTGAGCAGGCCAAAGTCCAAAGAACCCAGAGGTCATCCCCCTCCCCACCCCAGGAGATCTATCATACATTTCATAAGATCAGAGATTCTCAAGTCCCCTCCTTGCCACCCGTTTGGAACTGCTGGGGTGTGGGGGGGCTTAAAGCCACGGGAGACTGAAAAGGAAGCTGCAGTGTGTATGCACACGTTCCATTATTTGAAGAAAGGCGCTTGTGTGCTTTTGATGGGTGCCGTCTGTGTGTGTGCAATACTGCAGGGTGGCTTACTTTCTGTGTGTGCGTCTGCCTCCATAGTCCTCAAAAAGCATCCGTTGCCGAGAAAGCATCGCTCTCCATAGAACGGGGGCATTCGGCTGATGGGTTCCTGCCATCTTGTTTGTGTTTGTCTGGCTCTGAATCGGCACCTGTGCCAATCACCCTCTGGAGGGTTTTCTCTCCCCTCCCCTGGCTTGCAAACACTGGCCTACAGTTGTGCACTTATGTGGGCTCGCCACTGGCTGCGTTGCATTCGTGGCTCCGCTGGCAGGGACCGGCTCTCTGCAGATGTGCGACCAGATCCTCTTTGGAGTTTTAACCCCCAAAACAAAATGCGACACGGCAACAAAACGAACGTTGGGTGGAGGAAACCTGACCGGTTTCCAGGGCGAATGGAAGGAGAAATCGACACGCCTGTGTCCTCCAGAGCCTCTGCTCACTGCGAGTTTTTCCCCGGGCTGTGAAGGACGTTCCCAAGGCCTCCTGTCTGGAACGGTTCCATGAAGCTCAGACATGGGCCCCCGCTTTGAGTTCTTTTGGTCCACGAGGGAGGGAACAACCTGCAGAGGTATTTAAAGACTCGCTCGTTATAATGACCATTTCTGGGGGGGGGGGCACTGAGACCATCCTGTCTCCCCTGCTGCTGTCAAACCACCTCCTCAAGAGGAGGACCACGGGTAAACTGCAGCTGTAAGCCATGCCTTGCTGGGGATCTGGTCTCCCACCTCAAGCCAGTGCTTTCATACAACTGCTGGCCAATGCTCCCTCTAAGCGGTGGAGTCTTGTGAGCAAAAATCCTACTTTGCGAGCTGCTGGCATTAAAGTTGTGAGCGAGGGATTGGGCTGCTGCATTGGAGCACTCCTTCCTGAGCTACGACAAAAGTGTGTGAGCCGAAGGCTTAAAAAACGGCGAGCTGGCTCACACTCTAACTCAGCTTAGAGGGAACACTGCTGCTGGCCTCTCAGCAGTCTTCCACACTGCCGGCCTTCCTCCAGAGCCCTTCCTTCTCCCAAAGGCAAAAGGTACAGCACCTCTGGGAGGATCCGGTGAAATATTTAAGCGCCACAGGCTGTTCAGTTGCCGCCTGAATGTCTATTTCTGTCTAGGAACAACAACAAAACCCCATGTCCTTTAATCCTCTCCACCCAAATCAGGCAACGGCAGAGGTTTTAAGCCTCAAATTGTTGGAAGTCAGGTGCTGCACCTGAAAACCCGGGTCTGCCTGTGCAGTACCTTGCTACACCCTTAAGCATCTTGCCCGAGAGAGAAAAAGAAAGGTGTTACCTGTCTTGGGGGCTGCAGCTCAGTAGTGTTTTCCCTGAGAGGTTCCTATACAGTTTCCCAGAGACGTCCTCAAAAGCAGCCTCTCAGCCACGTCCATCCATGGGCCCAATTATTTGGCCAATGGAGAAGTCGCAGTGGCGAGCTTTGCGCCGAAGTCGAAGGGCTCCCGGATCGCACGCCGTCTTTGCCAAGGAAGACACTCAGTCGCGCCTGCTTCCACTTCAGTACATGTATGTATTTATTCATCGGGTTTTTGTTCACCAGTACAGTGAAAAATGGCATTAAAATTTACAATGGGTCATTCTTAGAATGTCGTTACAATAATATTGTTATTATTTTTTTTGCTTCGTTGTCTTCATAAAATATTGTCGTAGATTATTGAAAAGATGATGGTTTCTCATGCACAACGGACAAGAGTAAGCGTCTTCTTTTTAAAAAAAATTAAATGAAATGAAAGTACAAAATTAAAAACAACTCTGAACGTCCCCTCCTAAGAAAGAGGCATCAAATAACCAGCGAGTTATCTGAACACATTCATAAACAGTGCAATATTATTATTTTTTTGTTTCTAAATTCATCATATCCCTACAAAGTCCATCAACAAAGCCATTGATCACAGTAGAAGACTCTTAAATACATTTCTCGTTAACGATGATGTGTGCAAAACCTGGAACACATTCAAGAAGTCCTGTCCAATACTGATATATAATTAAGAGGAGAACCATCTTTGTTTTAAAATATACCTGCCTTCCCATGGGAAATCCATCTTAATAAGACCTCGTCTATCTGTCTTATGGAGAGAGAAAGGAAAAAAAATACAAACAATCTTTTGATGCCAAGTTCTTTTGACATTCGACATTAGCAGATTGTGGTTAACAAAGATTCAGATATAAAAATACAAATATGAGGAGTTCCTGTTTAAAAAAGAAGCGTGCCATAGTGGGGGATGACTAGTGGCACCGAGACGTGGCACCGAGACCAGGAAGCTCATGCAAAAAAGATGGAGCAAAAATGTCTCTCGACAGCAAGAAACAATCACTGTCTTTTAAGATTATAGTCCATCCACGTCAGAACCTCTCGTCTTCCACTCAGCACTGCTGGCTTTGGGGTTTGCTTCCAAACTGCTGGTATTTTGCAAACTGCTTGAGGTTTCAGGGTAGGCTGGGGGGGGGGGGTTTGAGAGATACTGTATATAACAGAACGGCTGTGTCCGTTTGAGATAACAGGAGATATTACAGCAAACACTACAAACCGGTTACATTTGGAGAAGTGTGTATGTGTGTGTTTCTGTGTCTCTGCAGGTGTCAGCTACACAGCCGCGGCGGGGGGGGGAGTGAACGGTGTAAAGTGCATTGCTAAAGGAGACCCCCCCACACACACACCTAAAAATAGAGAGCTCCGGGCGATCCTGTGGCTCAGAGCTCACAGAAAAACAGCACCTTCATGTCGTGGCATGGGGTCACCCCAGACAAGGGGGGGGGCTTTACTGCCGCTGAGGACTGGACAGAAGGGGAGGGGGGAGAGGAAGGGGTGGGCGGGGGGGGGAGAAACAAACAGCACCCCAGCACAGAGGCGAGGAAGATGCCGCAGTGGTCAGCTCCGCGGCAAAAGAAAAGAAAAAACACAACACAACACAAGCAAGCGCGTCGGCGGAGATGGTGCTGAAACGGACAGCTCCTCAGCGTGCGAGCGCGTCAAGAAGATGGTGCTCGGAGACCAGGACTGGTGCTGAAACGGACAGCTCCCCCCGAGGCGCAAACGCTCCGGCGTCGCGAATAAAGGGCCCGCTTCCGTCTTGGAAGGGTTCTGGATTCGAGGCAACTCCCGTTCGGGTTAGTTGGGCGTCGTGCATTATTTTTGTTTGTTTTTAAGTAAGATCAGGACAGAGAGACGGGTGACAAGATCTCTTTCGTGTCCCTTTTGTTTTTTTACGCTCGGTTGGGGGTGCAGAGGAGGGTGAGGTGACCCCCCATCGGTTACCTCCTCGGTTGGGGGGGGGGTCTGGGTTGGGTTGGGTAGAGGGTGTCGCCAGCAGCCTCATTCTCCTTCCTTTGCTTTTCCCCCTTGGTGTTTTATTTTTTCCTCCTCGTTTTCCTTTTCGTTGTTCACAATCCCAACAAACATGCACAGCCGAAAGTGCTTAAAAATCTCAGTGATCACGTCCTGCAGCTCGGGTTGCAGGCGCCTGGGCGAGCCGCTTTATACCCCGGAAGGCGACTTGTCTGTCATGCCCTTCAGCACCTCGTCTATTCTATCGTCTTCGATCACCACTGCGGGGACAAGAGAACAACAAGACAACCACGCCGTTAGGAGGGAACTGGGCACCGCCTGGCGGATCGATACCCCCCTCCCGTGGGGGCTTCTGGGGCTCTGGGGCTCGATCCCCCCCCCTCTTGTGGCTCTGGGGCTCGATCCTTCCCTCCCTTAGAACATCTGGTGGCGCAAATCAGCTGGGGGGGGGGAGAAAATGGCTCCCGGTCCGTTTCCAGATGGTTGCCAGCGGAGCGCAGAGCGCAGAGCGGGCTAAGGTTGATTAGCGAGGGAGCCCGGCCAGCCGAACGCGCGTGGGGAGCCGGACTAGGAGGCGAGGAGACCGGGGAAGCGCCGCTGGGCGCTCTGCTTCTGCGGCAGGAGGGGAGAGGCGGAACTGGGCAGCTCGGAGCCCAGGGGGGGGGGTCTTGATTCACAGTGTTCCCTCTAAGCTGCGTGAGTGTGAGCTAGCTCCCAGTTTTTGAGCCTCCAGCTCACCCATTTTTGCCTTCGCTCAGGAAGGAGGGGGCTCCAGAGCAAACTAATTGACGCAGCAACCGAATCGCTCGCTCACAGCTTTAACGCCAGCAGCTCACAAAGTAGAATCTTTGCTCACAACACTCCACAGCTTAGAGGGAACATTGAAGTGCGGGGTGGGCTGGAGAACGGGAGGAGGCCTGAGGGAGCCAGAGAGCAAAACAACCATCCCCCAAGCCCCCCTCCCCTCCCTAGGGAGCCGCGAAGACCCGGGGAGGAGGGGGGGGCTGGCGACGAAGGGGACCCGCGGGAGCAGGCTGGCCTTACCTCTCTTGGCCCTGCCAATCTGCCCCAGCTTGGGGGGCCTCTTGGACTGGTTGCCCCAGGAGTTGGTGTCCTGGAGGCGGCAGCTGAAGGAGAGCTCGCTGACTTCCGAGTCGGTCCCGTAGCGGGCCACCTTCTCGTCGCCGTAGGGCAGGATCTCGGACATGCTGGCGGCTGGTCGGCGCGGAGCGAGGGAGGGAGAAAGGAGAGGGCGAGCGGGCGAGAGACAGAGGGCGAGAGGAGGCAGGGACGCCGTGCCGGGGCGGGCGGGAGCAGGTCTGTGCGCCGCGGGAGCGGGAGGACGAATGCGGAGCCCGGCAGGCTGGACCAGCGTTTGAGTCGAGCGCTTGGGACAACCCTACATCATAAAGGAAACCCAGGCGGAAGGATGAAGTCATGCATCCGGGGCTGGGCGCCTGCTCGGGGAAGGTCCTCCCCCAGCGCGCTTCTCTCTCTCCCCCTCCCTCCCTCTCCCTCCCTCTCTCCACCCCCCTCCCCGTCTTTCGTGGCAGGGAAGAGAGGGGGTGACCAATGTTCCCTCTAAGCTGTGGAGCCTTGCGAGTAAAAATCCTACTTTGTGAGCTGCTGGCATTCAAGTTGGGAGCGAGCGATTTGGCTACTGTATAAATTAGTTTGCTCTGGAGCCCCATCCCTCCTGAGTTAGGACAAAGATGTGTGAGCCGGAGGCTAAAAAACTGTGAGCTGGCTCACACTAACTCAGCTTAGAGGGAACACTGGTGGTGATCAATGTTCCCTCTAAGCCGTGGAGCCTTGCGAGTAAAAATCCTACTTTGTGAGCTGCTGGCATTCAAGTGGTGAGCGAGCGATTTGGCTACTGTATAAATTAGTTTGCTCTGGAGCCCCATCCCTCCTGAGCTGAGACAAAAATGTGTGAGCCGGAGGCTAAAAAAACTGTGAGCTGGCTCACACTAACTCAGCTTAGAGGGAACACTGGTGGTGATCAATGTTCCCTCTAAGCCGTGGAGCCTTGCGAGTAAAAATCCTACTTTGTGAGCTGCTGGCATTAAAGTGGTGAGCGAGCCGTTGGGCTCCTGCATAAAATCAGTTTGCTCTGGAGCCACCTCTCCTGAGCTAAGGCAAAAAGGTGTGAGCCGGAGGCTAAAAAAACTGTGAGCTGGCTCATACTGACTCAGCTTAGAGGGAACACTGGTGGTGACCTCCGGAGGCGAGGGTGGCATGCTAATCAGGTTGCAGTAAAGACCTGGGGGGAGCACACATTGGGGGAAGGGGCGGAGAGGGGAGGCGCGGGGGGGGGAGGGGAGCATCCCAGCCCTGGCTCCCAAGGAGGGGTGGCCCGAAAACGCCACACGGTGTGCAGATCCCCTTGGGGAACCCCCGGGAGATGCTGGGAGTGGCTGAGCCCTTTGGTGCGTCTTAAGCGCCCTCCACTCGCTTCCGACTTAGGGCCACCCTATGAATGAATGCTCCTGCCAACCTAGCAGTTCCAAAGCCAGAAATTGCAAGTCGATAAATAGGGACCGCTTCGGTGGGAAGGGAACAGCGTTCCGTGAGCCTTGGTGTGTTTAGCCATGCCGGCCACATGACCACGGAAACGTCTTCGGACAGCGCTGGCTCTTCGGCTTGGAAACGGAGACGAGCACCGCAACCCTAGAGTCGGACTCGACTGGCTTTCGAGCAAGGGAACCTTTACTTTTATGAATGACCTCCCCAACAGTCTTGCTGTTCATACCTTGGCTTGGGTCTTGCAAAGGGAGGGCCCTTGTGGCTTCCTGGACAGAGCCGGTCCAACTCACGCTGGGTCTTCCCGTTTTCCCTGCTGCCTCTAGCTTTTCCTTGCCTTATTGTCTCTCCAGTGACCCCCCCCCCAAAAGTACTGAGACCCATGTGTGATTTCAGCTCTCATACTTTATTTAGAAGAAGATATTGGATTTATACCCTGCCCTTCACTACCCAAAGGTGTCTCAAAATGGCTTACAAACTCCTCTCTCTTCCCCTCCCCACAACAGACACTCTGTGAGGCAGGTGGGGCTCAGAGAGCTCTTGACAGAAACTGCTCTTTTTCAAGGACAGCTCTGTCAGAACTATGGAGTGCCCAAGGTCATCCAGCAGGTGCAAGTGGAGGAGTGGGGAATCAAACCCGGTTCTCCCAGATTAGAGTCCGCGCACTTAACCACCACACCAAACTGGCTCTCAAACTGCTACAGTAGAAGGGGAAGAGAAGAGATTGGATTTATACCCTGCCCTTCACTACCCTTATAACCTGCCCTTCTCAGAGCGGCTTACAGACTCCTTTCCCTTCCCTTCCCCACAACAGACACTCTGTGAGCAGTGCTCCCTCTAATCTGTGGAGTCCTGTGAGCAAAAATTCTACTTTGTGAGCGGCTGGCATTCAAGTTGTGAGCGAGCGATTTGGCTGCTGCATAAATTAGTTTGCTCTGGAGCCCTCCTTCCTGAGCTAAGGCAAAAATGTGTGAGCCGGAGACAAGAAAACTGTGGGCTAGCTCACACTAACTCAGCTTAGAGGGAACACTGCCTGTGAGGTCGGTGGGGCTGAGAGAGCTGTTGACAGAGACTGCTCTTTTTCAAGGACAGCTCTTGCAGAACTATGGCTTGCCCAAGGTCATCCAGCAGCTGCAAGTGGAGGAGTGGGGAGTCGAACCCGGTTCTCCCAGATTAGAGTCCGCGCACTTAACCACTACACCAAACTGGCTCTCAGGAATAAGATAAGGAACACCGGCTCGCACGCGGTCAGACATGAATACATTACACACCCCTTGTCTTCTCATCATGTGACCAAAGTACCATTGTCTCGGTGTAGTCATTTTTGCTTCTTTGGGAGACCACCAAAGGTTAGGACATAAGAACATAAGAGAAGCCAATGTTGGATCAGGCCAATGGCCCATCTAGTCCAACACTCTGCCATCAGAGCTTGAGTTTCCAAAGGGTGGGTTCCACAGGTGGGGGCAACCCCCAACAAATACCTCTTTGTGCTTCCTTGCATAGAAGGTTTGTTAGCAGAGGACTCCAGCTGATCTTGGATATTGATTTTGTCTCTCATATTTTTGGGGGGCAAACTTTGAAAAGCATTGAATGGGGGAGGGGTTGTAGCTTTAGAACACAGGAGAAGTCAATGTTGGATCAGGCCAGTGGCCCATCCAGTCCAACACTCTGTCACACAGAGGTCAAAAATACCATGGGCCATCAGGAGGTCCGGCAGTGGGGCCATCAGAACATCAGAGACGCCAATGTTGGATCATCCCTGATGGATTAAAGTACCCTGGTCCTGCTCCTACATTTAAGAACATAAGAACATAAGAGACGCCAATGTTGGATCAGGCCAAAGGCCCATCCAGTCCAACACTCTGTGTCACACAGTGGCCAGAAATACCAGTGCCATCAGGAGGTCCAGCAGTGGGGCCAGGACATTAGAAGCCCTCCCACTGTTGACCCCCCCCCCAAGCACCAAGAAGACAGAGCATCACTTGCCCCAGAGCCCCTAGCTATACCTTGTGGCTAATAGCCACTGATGGACCTCTGCTCCATATGCTTATCTAATTCCCTTTTGAAGCCGTCCATGCTTGTAGCACCCACCACTTCCTGTGGCAGTGAATTCCATGTGTTAATCACTCTTTGGGTGAAGAAGTACTTCCTTTTATCCGTTCTAACCCGACCGCTCTGCAGTTTCATGGAGTGCCCACGAGTTCTTGTATTGTGAGAAAGGGAGAAAAGTACCTCTTTCTTTACCTGCTCTTTCCCATGCATAATCTTATAAACCTCGATCATGTCACCCCTCAGTCGTCTTTTCTCCAAGCTAAAGAGCCCTAAGCGCTTTAACCTTTCCTCATAGGGAAAGTGTTCCAACCCTTTTATCATTCGAGTTGCCCTTTTCTGCACTTTTTCCAAAGCTATAATATCCTTTTTAAGGTGTGGTGCCCAGAACTGCACACAGTATTCCAAATGAGGTCTCACCATTGATTTATATAGGGGCATTATTATATTGGCTGATCTGTTTTCAATACCCTTCCTAATAATCCCCAGCATAGCATTGGCCTTCTTTATTGCAGTCACACACTGTCTCGACATTTTCAGTGAGTTATCCACTACAACTCCAAGATCTCTCTCTTGCTCAGTCTCTGCCAGTTCAGACCCCATCAATGTGTATTTATATTTAGGATTTTTGGCTCCAATGTGCATCACCTTGCACTTGGCCACATTGAACCCCATTTGCCATGTTGACGCCCACTCGCCCATCCTTGACAGATCCCCTTGGAGTGCCTCACAATCCTCACTGGTTTTCACCACCCTGAACAACTTTGTATCATCCGCAAATTTAGCCACTTCACTGCTTACTCCCATCTCCAAATCATTAATGAACAAGTTAAAAAGCAGTGGACCAAGTACTGATCCCTGCGGTACCCCACTGCTTACCACCCTCCACTGAGAAAATTTCCCACCTACACTCACTCTCTGTTTTCTATGAACTAGCCAGTTTTTGATCCATAAAAGGACTTGTCCTTCTATCCCATGATTTTTGAGCTTACTTAGGAGCCTTTGATGAGGAACTTTATCAAAAGCTTTCTGGAAGTCAAGGTAAATAATATCTATTGGATCCCCCTTGTCCACATGTTTGTTCACCCCCTCAAAGAACACTAACAGGTTAGTGAGACAAGATCTTCCCTTACAGAAACCGTGCTGAGTCTGCCTCAATAGGTTTTGTTCATCTACGTGCCTACTAATTCTTTCCTTAATAATGGTTTCCACCAATTTACCCGGTATCGACGTCAGGACACCAGGAGCCCTCCTACTGTTGCCCCCCCCACCCAAGCACCAAGAATACAGAGCATCACTTGCTCCACACTGAGAGTTCCTACCTATACCTTGTGGCCAATGCTCCCTCTAAGCTGTGGAGTCTTGTGAACAAGAATTCTACTTTGTGAGCTACTGGCATTAAGGTTGTGAGGGAGCAGTTTGGCTACTGCATAAGATTAGTATGCTCTGGAGCCATCCTCCCTGAGCTAAGACAAAAATGTGTGAGCCAGAGGCTAAAAAACTGTGAGCTAGCTCACACTGACTCACCTTAGAGGGAACACTGCTTGTGGCCAATGCTCCCTCTAAGCTGTGGAGTCTTGTGAGCAAAAAATCCTACTTTGTGAGCGGCTGGCATTAAAGTTGTGAGCGAGCGATTTGGTTACTGCATAAATTAGTTTGCTGTGCAGCCATCCTTCCTGAGTGAAGACAAAAGCGTGTGAGCCGGAGGCTAAAAAAACTGTGAGCTAGCTCACACTAACTCAGCTTAGAGGGAACACTGCTTGTGGCTCATAGCCACTGATGGACTTCTGC